CGGTGTCGGTGTTGGCACCACCAATGCCAGGTTTTAATCGTACAAATTCAATTATTTGTTATGCACATTCACTATTGAATACATGTGGTTTGACTAGGGTTTTGTTGGCACTTCCAATGCTGGCATTCCCATCACTTACATTGTGTTCTCATGATGCTTCGGGCCTTTTTCCTGGCGGGCCTTTAGGCGAGTGGTTCACGCTAACGATTTCAATATACTGTTGCTAACCATTTCAATACACTGTTGCCACATCTATCTCGGGCGTTGGGGCTCCAAAGCCATTCTTTCCTTCAGCGTTGCTGACCACAGAGAGGTGATTTATTTTATTTTATTTTTGATTAGCCTATGTAAGGAATCTAACAAAAAAATAAATTTTTTTTTTGGCTTTAGGTATAAAATCAAGTTCTTTATTGGGAAAATTTCGTATAGAGCTCTAATTTTTCATATTATTTCATGGTAGATCCCCTTTCCGATTTTTTTTCAAGCGGTAAAAGGAAATCCGTAAAGATTTCACCATAAAAATTAGTTCCAATAAATCTTTTTATACCAATTTATCCCAAAAACGTTTTTAACCTTTTTTTTTTCCTTTCCACCCAATAAAAAAGTTTTTGGGTTAAAATGGTATAAAAAGATTTGTTGGGGCTAATTTTTATGATCAAAAGTCAATAGAAAAGAGAGATAAGAAATGAGGAGGTATTGTGAAATCTTTAAGGGTTTTGTTTTGCCGCTTCAAAAAAAAAATGGAATGAGAGTCTACCATGAAATAAAAACTGAATTAAAGTTCTATACGAAATTTTTCCTTCTTTATTTTGGGTTAAATACATGAAAAACAATTTCCCCTAAGGAAGACTTCAGCTTTTGAATCCAACTTTAGAAATATGCAACTTTCCTAGAAAATTATTCCTATTAATTTTTTTGACTAATTTAATTACGGACGTAAAAAAAATACAAAATGTGCCAATTTTAGGCGAAAATTATGGGGAAGGTCTTTTGCATAATTTTAACCCAAAATTAACTCATTTCATATTTATTATTATTTTTATGATGGGACATAATTCACTCTAATCCTTTTTCAAGGATCTTCTTCTAGCCCAGAGGAAACAAAAGAAGAAATATTTTATTAAAAGTGTAAACACCCGATCTCCAGTTGAGAGAATCCCAGGAAACTAAGGTCCCAAAACCATAAAGACTTACATGTATCCCAGAACCATAGGCCTTAGGATCACGAGATACCTCAACCCATACACAATTTCGGCGTATAGAACAAGACAAATTGGCAATCTGAAACCCGAACTTTACTACTATTTAAAATTCAATTTTTTTTATCCAAATTTAGTTTCAAATAAAAGTAGAGGAGTCAGCTTTCCAACAGTTCAAAAATAGCTTAAATATGATATAGCGTTGAGAGTTATGGCCCTTAAAAATATAGTTGAGAAAAATAACCAGTTAGTCCTCAACACTGCAGCAGCAACACCAACACTGGAGGGGAGGCTACCAACGCTATAGAACTAGGGGTCTTGACGCGAGCGTAACCACCAATAACTCTCTCTCTCTCTCTCTCTCTCCTGCTAAACTAACTCCCCTAACTGAACTTTCTCTCTGTACTTGCTAACCCAACTTTTGTAACTCAAGTGTCTCTCTATCCTTGCTCAACTCTCTCTTTCTCTCTTATTATTTTAATTTCTCATGGTGCCTCTCTTTCTCTCCCCCTATGCAAAGATATCTTCTCATTTTCAAAGAGGCTGCTTTTATAAGGCTGCAACCTAATTTGTATGAATAATGTTGCAATACTCTACACTGTCAATTTTACATAGATGGTGTAAATATGATACATCTTTTAAAATATTGTCAAGATATGATATATTTTTTAAAATAATTTACAATCTACATTGTCTAAATAAAATGAACGGTGTACAACTTTTTTTTTTTAAAATGTCCTTTAATTTTTTTTCTCAAAGTGCCACTCCTTCCCTCCCCGTGCATATCCCTTTATATTTCCATCTTGCGTGAGCCATTTCCTTCTCTATCCCTACCATCTATTTCTCCTCTTAGAGATTCAGTGCGTTTAATCCCTTTTGTTTTTGGTAAAAGCATTTTTCAAGGTTGCTTCCAGATGCCATTCAAAAAATAAAAATCCATTTTATAGGCGCAAGAAATGTATTTCCTAACGGGTTTTTTTAAAAAAGCCCTCGTTCAGGCTTTGTGCCCCTTATTGCCTGTCCGGCAGCCTCTTGACATTCCTAACCAACAAAGTTGACCGTCATTACTCCACTTCTTTGGTCGCACGGCTTTGGCCAAAATCTTTGAATTAATGAACCAGCTTGATCCGACCAGGCTGGTTGAATGGCATGACATGGAGAACCTAGGACAATAGGAAACAATGGCGATATGTCTTTCTGGTTTGAACGAACCAACTGGCGGCTGACGTTTCTTTGGAACGTGTGCTTCTTGAGTGAAATGATTTTCGAAGAATGAAATTCCCTCATCATCATACGGCATGAGAACATTCGAAAAACTCGATCGCAAGCTTTGGCCTTCAGTATAATATAGAATAGCTATGCATTGCAACCTCGCTAGGCCATCATCCAATGTATGGTTCATGCAACGGTGATCGGCGAGAGCACTGAAGAATTTTTTTCAGGGATCCAATAGAGCCTTGGAGTGTTGTGATCGGGAGTGGTATGGAACTTATAGAAAGAGGAAAAACATAATTAAAATGGCCAACCCACCACAAAAATAATTAAGTAGAATCAACCTTTACCAACACAGTAGTAGTTTTAAAAAATCATTTCATTCAATGTGGATTTTTATGATGATTTTTATCTCATTTTTTGATGATTTTTACCTCATTTTTTAATTTAAAAGTGATATCTATCCCGTATTTTGATTAATTTCAAATTTCAATGTGGATTTAATGGGATAAGGGATCATGAAATGAGAACCATGGACTATGGAGTCTTTTGATCTAAGGTCCTTTAGGGTAGGGTAGTGTAGTCCTAAGGGTTTTCAAAGTGTTTCTAAGGACTCAGGGGTTTTCAAACTGTTTCTAAGGAGCAGGGTGATCATCCACCCTGTTTCAATAGCCAAGTGGGGCATTCATGCATCACACTCTAAGTGGCATTAACACCCAATGAATAAAAAATCATCCCACTAACGGGGACAACCAAATGAGCTCTTCCATCAAAGAAAAAGATTGAGGGACTAGAAAACTGAGAGTGACCCTGAGTTTGAAAATCAAGATTTTAGTGTGGTAGTTCAAGGAAAAAGTTCAATAGAAATGTGGGGAGCACTATCAACGAGATATTGGATACAATCCTGGGGCAAGGGAAATCCAAGGATAAGCAAATTCAGAATCTCTCTACCACCTAAAAAAAGGGAGAGCGGTCGAGTCCCTATCTGGTTCTAGGCAAAGTATTGAAAAAAGAAGAAGAAGCATTGACCCTTCAGCTTCTCCTCCTCCTTCATCCTTTTCTTCTTCAAAGAGAAGAGAGAGAAGGAAAAAAACAAGAGGAAAAAAAAAAATCTGTCAGGTTGAAATTCTGAAAGGAACCTCGAGCATAGGAAAAAAGGGCAATGGGATGAATACTCGAAAGGGGCCCCGGGGAGATGTAATTGGTTGGGCCTCGATCTCATCGGGTCGAATGACAGCATAGGGGCCTGGATGTGTGGGTCCGGCTCGAGATCGCTCTCTTGAAACGAACAAGTACCAACTAATGAGAGAGGATTACGGGGTATGAGGTGGGACCTACCTCACGGTGAGTTCATGAGACGCTTGTGTAAAAATATTTGTCGAAGAGCATATTTCGTTCGCATAAAAATATTTCCTTTTTAAGTGAAAAGATTTCTTCATGTGGTGACTTGTCAAAATATTTTCACACCAATTTTCTACCAATTAGTAGAAAAATATTCGAGCACCTAATCACATAAGAAAATTCTTTCACCCATGAAATAAAGGTGCCCTAAATATTCACCAACCCGGAATGAACGTTGCACCAAAACACGGCTGTTGGGTTGGTGGCCATACTTTGAAAGTACCGTACGCCATCCAAGTGCCACTAAACACATGCAAAGAATGTAAACAACTTTAATTAGGGGATTGAAACTATGAGACCATTTATATACAAGGAAGTCACAATTGCTAGTAGCCATTGGATGTTAAATTGGATGGCATTGGGTATGACACAAAGTTTAAGAACTTTTTTTTAACTTTCAGTCTAGTGAATGACACACTCATAACCACCATACTTGAAATTTGAAAGACAAAAATGAATATAACCTCATTGTATTAAAAATAAAAGAAAATTGTTTCATACGATCTGAACTGCATTTCTACATATGCAGTCCAAAAAGTATAAGCATCCATCTTAAAGATGGATGCAAGTAGAGTTATTACTTGCAATTGAAACTAACGGTCCAAATGTTTTATTACTAGAATTATTATTTTTAAATTTATTTATTTTTTCATATTCATGATCTCCATGTTAGGTATTACATGTCTCTAAAAAGTTAAGTCTTAAAATCCATCTCAAAAATAGATTTATTAAGAAGCCCGCATTTCTACGGGATTAGCCGCATAGAAACTGGGTCCAAAGATAAATGATCTCTTCGAATATTTTGCCTATTAACTTTAATTATCCGCTTTTGATTTCACCGCTTGACGCTGTTGAAATTTGATAGGGATAACGCAAAGATGAGTGCCCTGTGCTTATCCGGATTAGCGAGGGTGTTGACCCTTGCTGCTACGGGCCACTTGACTAGACGAAAAAGGCCAAAAGGTGGCGTCACACAAACCTAGTTTCCCAACATAAAACAAGACCCATTGGAAACTACGCGTACTCGTTTGGGAAGCGTGGACACCGAACCTTGAGGAAAACAGAAAAAAATAATTAAAGAAATCATCAAAGACGTAGCCTTAGGTCACCGCCCATGAGGACAGTCCATTTCTGCTATAAAATCCCCCTTAAAAGCACTTGGATTCCACTATATTTGTGTATCAGAAATATAGAGTGAGACCGCACCTACCCTAAGGGCTATGTTCGGACTGGAGAGAGAGAGAGAGGAACAACACCTACCTTGAAGCTTATACCCAGCCTTTAGAGAGAGAGAGAGAGAGAGAGGGAGAGAGATAGGACCGAGCGACAGAGATCCCAGTATAGGTGCATAGAGAGAGCGAGAGAATTATTCGTGTGGTGAACTTTGTATGCTAGCAGAGGAGATCCCTAGACTGTAGGAATCCGAGATTGTAGTCTGGAATCTGGAGAGAGAGATGAAGATTGAAAAGCATAGCTCGAGGCTGGTATACCCTTCCTTTGAAGCCAAACCTTTTACACCTTCAACCTCCACCACCATCCCCTTAAGCCCCTTTGACCGAGCAGCTGGAAACGCCTATATCTCTGTAATCTATGCCTACAAAGCTCCAACACCCCCTAACTCCGCCATTGAGCGTGGCCTTCGCCTCGTGCTCTCCAACTATCGCGAGTGGGCTGGCCGTCTTAGCGACGATAAACGAGCCATCGTCCTCAATGACAAAGGGGTGCGCTTAATTGAGGCCACGGCCTCATGCACGTTAGACGAGGCCAGACCCTTGAAATCAACTCCCCAACTATGGGACCTTCACCCGGGCAGCAAAGGCATCGAGGAGTTAATGCTAGTCCAGCTCACCCGCTTTACCTGTGGCTCCCTTGTGGTTGGCTACACGTCCAATCACTTGATAGCCGATGGTGAGGCCACAGGTAATTTCCTCCTGGCCTGGGGCCAAGCAACGCGTGGCCTCATGGTGCATCCCGTACCAACTCACGACCGAGCCATGGTCAAGCCACGCGAGCCGCTCGACGTAGAGTTCGACCACTTGGGCAACGAATACATGGAGAAGAGGCTCGTAAAGAACGTTCCATGGGAAAAAATGCCGAGCCCGATTCGAATAGAAAAGATCCACTATTCTCCGGACTTTTTAGCTCGGCTCAAGGCGCTCGCGTCCGTGCGTTGTTCAAGCGAACGTCGCTATAGCACTTTCGAGTGTCTGGTCTCGCACCTTTGGCGAAAGGTGACGCACGTGCGTAGTGTGGGTGAGGAAGAGACAAGTCAGGTGCGCATCTCGGTCAACGTGCGCACCCGGCTCGTGCCTCCTATTGCCGACGGCTACTTTGGCAACTTGGTTTTGTGGGCCTTTCCTCGAGCCACGGTGCGGGAGTTAGTGAGCCAGCCACTGGAATACGTGGCTGAGGTGGTGCATGCGGCGATTGCCCAAGTCAACGATATGTACGTGAGGTCCTTTGTGAACTTTGACGCTCTCGTAGAGAAAGAGGCGCGTTGGAGTGAGTTGGTCCCCACGGCGGAAGTGGAGTCGACGGTGTATTGCCCTAATTTGGAGGCCAACAGTTGGCTTAGGCTCCCGTTTGGTGAAATGGATTTTGGAAGTGGGGGTCCTGATGTGTTTATGCCCTCTTACTTTCCTTTGGAGGGGGTAATGGTGATTGTGCCAGCGATCCATGGGAAGGGGGGAACAGATGTCTATCTCTCTCTTTTGGAGTCCAACATGGACGTGTTTCAGGACATCTGCCACACCATAGACTAAGATCTCCCTCTCTCTATGTCTAGTGCTGGGTGTCGTGTCTCTTTCTAAGATCAAATGGTTAGATTTTAGTCTCTCCATGGTTACCCTATGTCTCTCCTCTCTCTCTCTCTCTCTCACTCACTCATATATCAAATGATCAGAATAGACCCTCTCCATGGTTACTCCACGTCTCCCACTCTCATGTGCCCCGGTTGGGTGTGCGGTTCGGGTCCGCCTGAATTTGAAAACATATTATCCCTGATTAGACCCGACCTGGAAATTTTTAAAAAAATACATGGGTGTGGTTTCTGTGAGGCTGCAACCAAATTTTATTCTAACACGTAATTTTGGTGTATAAAATTCTTAGGATTATCTGAAAATTTATTTTTATATCTAATTATAAAATTTTAAAATCCAAAAATGGTTAAAATCAAGTAGATTTATAAACTTATGAAAATCTTACAAATGGATGGTTTAGATAATGTGTTGCAAGATGTACTATTTTTTGGGATTCATAGTTTTTTTTTTTCATAGTCATTCATCTCGATGTTGAGATGATGAATTAGAGGGTTTTTCAATATTGAAACAACACTCTCTGATGGATTTTTGAGTTGCATCTATAATTCTACATTTTAAGGTTGCAACCTTATATAAACTTTTCGTTTTATTTTGTTGAAGTGATGAATATTATGATTCTTGTTGTAACAAAGGAAAAAGTTTATATAAGGGTGTAGATTCTATGGTTCTTGTTGTAGATTCTATACCACATTATCCTAGTAAAACCAAAATACATAGTTCACACAGCCTACAATGTGACCCGGAACCAGTCTGCCTGCCCGGAACCCTATCTTAACCCAAATTTTTGTAAACACCTTGTTTTACCAAAAAAATCATTAAAAATAGTAAATACATCCGTTTTGATCACAATTTTCTCCGAGAGCTTCATAAGAGGCTAAGAAAAATACCCAAATTGAAAAAAAGGAATTTTGGACAAGTTTTGAGTTGGGTGACACTAGCCGTGTTGCCCAGCCTGGACTGGGCGACACTAGCAGGTCGCCCAAATCAGTCTAGTAAATGTCATGTTTACCAAAAAAAATCATTAAAAATAGTAAAAAAATCCGTTTTGACCCAAATTTTTTCTAGTAGCTTCATGAGAGGATGGGGAATGCACTCAATGTAAAATAGTCAATTTTGACCAAATTTTATTTGGGCGACATGGGTAGTGTTCGGGCGACACTACCAGAGTCGCCTAGACCATTTTGCCCCTAAATGAAATTTTTGGCTTTTTTAATGTTTTTTTACCTTTCTTGGGGCGACACGCCTATCCGTGACCCCCAAAAGGTGGATCTTTGATAGAGGGATTTGTTTGTTGCAGGAAGATGTTCTTCCCAAACAATTTTGGCCCCCTTTTTAGCATCTTTTCGAGACCATTTAGAGGGGATGGAAAGAGAGAGAAAAGGGGATTTTTCAAAGATAGAAACCCTGAGGAGATAGGAGAGAGAAAAAACCCTAGGAGATAGAGACAGAGAGAGAGAAATACCCTAGCAGAGAAAAAGAAACAAATGAGATAGAGATGAAAAACCTGAGGGAGTTACAGGCCTGGAAATTGTGTCAGGAAGCCTTAACCTCCTTAGAGAAACGCCAGATCTACCTTTAGGATAGAACCCTAAAAAAAATCCTTCACACTGAAGAGATTTGCTGATAAACATCCGACTCTAAGTGACAATAGAGGACCTATTCTGATACGGGCGAGCCCCAGAAGGCTTGGGAGTCCCAGGCCATCCAGCCCGGTTTGGTCGCATTTTCCTTTCTTTTTTTCATTCTTCTTTATTGTTTTAATTTCATTTTGATCTTCTTATTTTCTTTAAAATCATGTTTTGGATGCTCTGGATCATCTGGCCCTGCCACAGATCTGAGAGTAGATCTGCTCATTTTCGAGCAAATCTGGCCTCAGATCTGAATTAGATTTGTCCACTTTCTTTACCATTTTATTTCTTACACTTTCATTTAGTTTAAGGTGTTAAAATCGAGATATTTTCATCGGAAGATCTGTCTGATTTTCATCATAAACAGTTTGGCACTCACCGCGGGGCATTTCGAGCTTGATCCAAGTGCCAAAGTACTCTTTTATTTCACTATTTTTCACTGGGATCATTCACAAAAAGTCCCAAGAATCTATGGGGATCCAGATCCAGGGTTTTGATGCTTCAAAACCCTGTCTGATCTAGGCGACCTAGCTGTGTCGCCTGGGCGTCACCAGCTGTGTTGCCTGGGCGTCACCAGCTGTGTCGCCTGGGCGTCACCAGCTGTGTCGCCTGGGCGACACCACCAGTGCTGCCCATATCCCCAAAATTTGAAAGTTTCAGAATTTTATGAAACTTTGCAAATCTGTTCTAGGGCCTTTTTCATGACCGTTCACAAAATTTCAGAGGAAAATACAATTTTCAAAAATACCAAAAAAATATTTTACTTGATACAGACCTGTCGTATTTGCTTTTGTCTGTTTGCTCAATTTTAGTTTATTTCATCAAAAATATATTTTTTTCCTGTTTCTTCCAAGTTTAACGTAGTCTTATTTCATTAATATTAACAAGAAAAATATATAAAAACAATAATAATAAAATATAGTGTCGCCCACCCTGCAAAGGCGACACCACCCGTGTCGCCCACCCTGCAAAAGTCCCAAAAAATTTCTAGGACCCCACAGACCCATTCTAGGGACTTTTGCCTCCCTGTTGACCATCTTTTGACTCAAAATAATTTAAAAAAAAAAAAAACAATTATTCAGATAGGTTTTTGCTGTTTCTGACTTCTTTTATTTTATTTTTAGCTGGTTTATTTTGACTGAAACCATGTTTTCTCTGCTTTCACCATGCTTAGTTTAACTGTTTTAATCAAATTTAAGAAAGATAAAAACAAACTATATATACATCGAAGGCCACTTGCACCCTGAACTATGTCCCGTTCGAGTCACCTCGACTCGGGCCGCGCTTGACTTAGCACGGACTGTACCTGGTCTCATTGTTCTGACTTTACCTTCTTAGGGGTTTCTTACCCCTCCATCTATACTGTGCTTCGAGTGAGTTTTGCCTCGAAGCGCGCATCGCTAGGCACGATCAGTGCCAAGTGCTCACTTATTGCCTTGCTTGTTTTGTGTGCATTGCGTGCTTGACTTTATTTTTGATTGCGTACTTCTTTACACACTCCATCACACACCCGATCGGGAATGTCCGGCAAACCAACAAACAAATATTTTGAAAACCCCTAAAATCCACGTTAACGGCATGATGGGAACCTATCATTGGGAGCAGAGGTGGTTGGGATTCGCGTAACTTTAACTATGAGCGCCCCTCCGTAATCCTCTGCCTCAAAGCAACTCTGCGTATAGTAGGACCTGGTGAACATCCTATAACAGGAGGCCAGGACCTACGTGGGGATCTATATCAGCCTAGCCGTATTTCAATAGTTAGGAACCCACTCTCAAGCCAAGCCTACCCATAATCAGACTAGGCGAAAAGTTTTCGTGTGCTTGCTTATTTATTTTTTATCGGTTAATCTTAGATTGTAGTCCGGACCCACTTTTGGTCTGAGCTGAAGCTTCTAGGTCCTAGTTCAGGCTTATACACAGCTTAGCATAGGTCAGAACCAGGTTTCGCCTTGATCCAAACCTATGCCCCCTCTTGGTCTTAGCTGAAGGCTCGTTCCTAGCTCATCTTTGATACAGTCCAGGTCCGCGCTTGGTTTGATCATTAAAATTCTTTGGGTCCAAGTCCAGACTTGTACCCAGCCTAGCCCAGGTCCCACCAGGTTCACACCCAAGTCCGAACCTAGGCCCCCTCTTTGTCCTAGCCGAAAGCTTGTTCCCAGCTCATCTTTGATCCAGTCTAGGTCCACGCCTGGTCTGATCATTAAAACTCTCTAGGTCCTAGTCCAGGCTTGTACCTAGCCTAGCCCAGGTTCGAACCAGGTTCACACCCAGGTCCGAACCTAGGCCTCCTCTTGGTCCGAGCTGAAGGCTCGTTCCTAGTTCAATCTTGATCCATTATGGGTCCAAATCCGGTCTGAGTTTCAAAACCCTCTAGGTTCGAGCCCAGGCTTGCACTCAGCTCGGTCCAGGTCCGAATCAAGCTCACACCCCGGTCCGAACCTAGACCCACCCTTGATCCAAGCCGAGACTCATGCACCACCTAGTCTAGATCTTAGTCTAGGTTCTGACATAGGTCTAAGCATAGAGTTGCCTCTAGAGCTAGACTAGACTTACCTTAGTTCAGGGTCTGAACCAAAACCCATTGAGTCTAACATGTCTAGATTCTAGTCTAGTCTGAGCCAAAGTTTTGCCCCTAGAGATCATCAAGTCTAGTTCTTACCTAAGTCTAAATTTCAGAACCCAGCCAAAGAGAGTCACCATGTCGGCTACTCAAGGCGACCATGATGATTGCTCCACAGCTGACTCTAAACCAAACTTAGGGACCAATATGCTACAATCCCTTGGAACTATCAATAGACCTCAAGCCAATCCATTATCCAACACCCAGGTCTTTAGTTAGAGACAGAGTCCCAAGCATCCACTCCTAATCCTGAAATTGGTGTGATCCGAAATGCTAGTTCGGCCCGAAAGACTCTGAATAGTCAAGGGGTCCGACCTAGAGTCATCATGCATGAGACTTTAGGCAACCAAAGTGAAACTCGATTGAGGGAAGAAATCCATGCAGCATCTAACGTCAATTTCAGTAACTTGAACCCAGATAAGCCCAATGTCCAGCGATCTCAAGACCAAGACCCACCTAGGTCTAGGGGATCCAACCCTACCTCGAGTCGCCATAGTACAGCTCATGATGTCCTAAATACTGTACGAGGCAGAGGTCCCTAGGCGAGACAGGTGTCCAAGCTGCTCTCAAAAGTCTAGTTGACCTAGGATACACTGTTCATGCCCCAGCTTACGGGTCAATACCAAACCAACTTAGTGGTATAAGTCAAACCTTAGCACAACCGGGTCAGCCGATTCTTCAAACGGTCCCTCTAATTCATCCAGTCCAACAAATCGTGCAATTTTTGCAACCGGTGGTGACACCCATGGGTCACTATGCCCCTTAGATGCAGTTGTATTAAACCGCCCCGGTGACTGCAGCTTATCAATCTCAGGCCCATACAGTCCAACGTATACCCCAAATCTCGACTCA